TGACAACGTAATGGCTGACATGAGGAAATCACTTGACGAACTCGAACTTGGGGAGGGAACTACAGCTCCCGTAGTAGCTACTACACCTTCGCTACGTGGGTTCAAGGTGCCACCATTCGACGGGACTTCTTCTTGGTCAGCCTACGAAATCCAGTTCGAGGCTGTTATGAAGGCGAACGGCTGGAATAAAAGTCAGGCCATGACTGCTCTCACACTAGGCCTACGCGACCAGGCCTTAACAGTTCTGGAAGCTCTCGGTGAGGAAGTGACTTATGAGCAACTCCTTGAGGCATTGGAGGCGAGATATGGCGACGCTCACCTGGAACACGTCTTTCGTGCGCAGCTTAAAGATCGCGTGCAGCGCATCAACGAAAACCTGCAACAGTGGGCTCTAGAGGTGGAGAAGCTGGTGCGAAAAGCATACCGGTCTGTACCTGCGCTCATTGAAGGGAACCTGGTGCAGACATTCATCGACGGCATCCGCGAGACCTGGAAGTCAGAGCTGCTGTGAGGCTCGGGCACCACGAGACGCTTAAGGACGCCTTGGCCCATGCACTGGAGGTAGAAGCCGTGCGGCAGGATCATCGTTCCCATCGCGTCAGGGAGGTTGCAGCAGTTACAGTTCGCGACCGCAACAGATGATACAGCCCTAGGTGCTATGGCTGTGGGGAAAAGGGCCATCTTCGATCCAGCTGCCCTAAGCGAACCCTAAAAAGAGAAAGTGAACGATATCAGGAGGGTAGTGCAGCTAACGGCACTGCCTGGCGGCGACAGGATCATCGTTAACCTCACGCTAGGGAGGTTGCAGCAGTTACGGTTCGCGACCACAATAGAAGATACAGCCCTAGGTGCTATGGCTGTGGGGAAAGTGGCCATCTTCGGTCCAGCTGCCCGAAGCACACCCTAGGAAGGGAAGGTGAACGGTCTCAGAAAGGAAGTGCGGCTAACAGCACCGCCCAGCAGCAGCTGGAACGACTTTACTATCAGACACTGCAGCGGGAAATCTCACGGCAACACAGATGCATTGTCAAGAAGACCTTGTCCTGAAGATGGCAATCATTGTAGTAGGCAATGTAAGGAAGTGGTATCCGTGAGGATGCTCAGAACAGACCACCTCAGCAACGGGTGGAAGGACAGCCTACGACATGCACAGCAGGAAGATCCGGACATCAAGCCGATTCTGGGATGGATGAAGGCCCGTGCTACCAAGCCTAAGTGGAAGGAGGTCTCAGCGATGAGTTCAACCACGAAAAGCTATTGGGCCCAATGGGACAGCTTGCTGCTTAAGGATGGAGTCCTGTGCCGTAAATGGGACAATGGTCGAGGAGACAGCTGTCGTCTGCAAATGGTCGTCCCTAAAGTTAAAGTGCCGAATGTTCTACAACTGTGCCATAATGGTCGTTCAAGAGTCCATCTGGGAGTTAAATGAACTCTACTGAAGGTCCGAGAACAGTTTTACTGGGTCCATTATCGTGACGATGTCGAGGATTGGTGTCGTACATGTACAAGTTGTGCGGCTGTGAGGGGACCTTAGACACGGAGTAGAGGAGCATCGAAATTGTACAATGTTGGTGCACCACGGGATAGGACAGCCCTTGACATTGCGGAGCCGTTACAGAAAGGCGCAAAGGGGACTCCTAAGATTATCCATGTGGATCGCCTAGCGCGTTATTATGGGGCCGATAATGCTCGGGACGAGCATGTCTTAGGAGGGGACAGTATTACGCCGCTCTCAAATCAGCGCACTAGCGCCATCTAGTGTCTGGAACGAGAGCGAGGGGAGCTTTGCAGTAAATGACATCACAAATCTTTCGACCGACAGCGCCACCCGAAGAACTAAGTTTCTGGAAAATCTACACTCGAATACTCGTTGCCTGGCGCGCATTTACTTGAATTTTCGGGACGCTTCTTTGCTAATTATATAAATAGGCGCTGCAAGATGCGATCGGGGCAGAGTTGAACTCGGCGACACAAGCGAAGCTTCGGAGCGGAATTAAGTGAATTAGTGTGTTTAATTATTAGTGTTTTTAGTTTTAATTTGTGTAAAGTAAATTAAAGTGTTAATTTAGGTAATTTTATCTGCAATTTTTATTGTTACGAACCTCAAGCTCGTAACAGTATCAATACTCGATTTTTCTTCTGTCTAGGAGACACGGCCTACGACGCGGAGCCACCGTTCCTCCATTATCTCTCTGCAGGTACCTGGGCACCAACAAACCTATTCTCTCCACAACCGACTGGCAGTCCAACTTGTGGTGCATTATAAAAAGATAATACCTAATAGTTGACATCACCCTCCTAAACATTAGGATTTATAAATCAACCATACCGAAAACGAATAGGGAAGGATACAAATAAGGGTAGTAACCGAGACTCTTCTTATAAAGCCAATGAGCAAATTTACGTTGTATTCTCTCTAACATGATAGTATACTTATTCTCATAAGGATTCCAGGCCGCAGCTGCATACTCCAGTTTACTCCGAACATACGCATTATACAAAGTTTTAGCCACCCTTATATCATCAAAGTCAGCAGCAGTCCTCATCACAAAACCCAAAGTCTTACTAGCCGACTTGCAAATGGATGTCATATGATTGTGACAATTTAATTTAGTATCTAATAATAAGCCCAAGTCAATTATGTCATATACTCTTACCATAGGCGCGTCAAATAAGTTATAATTAATAATGATAGGATTCGGTTTTAATGCAAAAGTAATAACCTTTCATTTAGTCTCATTAAGAGGAAGATGGTTCACCTTACTACATTCCGATACCATATCTATGTCCTGTTGAAGAGCCTGTGCATCAGCAGTACTGCCAATTCCCAGGCTTAATTTCAGATCATCTGCAAATAACAGACACTTCGCAGATTTAACTTTGGTAGGCAAGTCATTTATAAAACTTAAGAACAGCGTAGGGCCAAGAGTACTACCCTGACTCACACTAGATCTAGTAAAATAATAAGTGGATTCGTAACCACTTACTCTAATGAATTGACGACGATTATACAAATAGCTAGCAAAAAAATTGAAGAATCTTCGGAGTAAAACCCGTACAATAGTAAGTCATTACTCACCAGATCAAAAGCTTTCCTAAAGTCGAAATATGCGGCATCTACCTGTCTTCTAGAATCCATCTCTATACATACATAGTCAACGTGTGCTATCAGGTTAGTACTCGTTGAGCGATTTTTCCGAAACCCATGTTGACTGTCATGCAAAATGTTATCTAACTGTTTGCTAATGCGGAAGTTCAATATGTTTTCAAATACCTTCGTCAGAACCGAAAGCACCGCTATAGGTTTAGAAGCAGAAACATCCTTTCCAGGTTCTCCCTTTGGAACAGGGGTCACCCTAGATATTTTCCATTGTTCTGGATATTTAGCCTGTCTTAGAGACAGATTAAAAATGAATAAGAGCGGTGATCTAAGAACTGGCGCACAATCCTTGAGAAGAAAAGCAGGAATGCGGTCAGTGTCACCAGCGGATCGTGGCTTTAGGCGTTTTATTGCCAATCTAAAATCACTACATGCCTGACTGAGATGGGCACCATATTAACTTGTAAATTAGCCGCACTTTCGGCATCAGCATAATCTAATAGGGGCTTTTCATCATGAAATACAGAGCAAAAATATTCAGCAAAGGCATTAGCCGCATCTTGACCTGATACTTCTTTAGCCTTATAACTACTATATGTCTCCGTATGTCGTCTTTTTTATCACTTACATATTTCCAAAATAATACCGGATCGTCAATTATGCTTTTCTGTATCAACTTAAGATGCTGCTGATACGCGTTGTTAATCAAAATTTTAACCCTCCATCGGTAAAAGTTAAACAGTTCTTTATTAAATAATTTTCATTCTTGCTTAAATCTCTTCAGGTGGAAATATTTTTTTAAATATTTTCTATGATCTCAGGCGTAAACCATTTGGGTACTATACATAAATAATCATGCTATAGAGGTGCTAAATTTATTTATTCATTAGCATCAATCACTTTGTATTTAACTGAAGTGATCTGAGTCGAATAATTCTATAGATTAAACATATATTGTTACGAGATCGCCCCAAATGGAAGTCCGTAGGCTCTGCCTAACCCTCCGCATAATAATCGTGAGAGCTTATGTTTATGTTTATCTACATCTACACTAATATTATAAACAGGATTTTTTTTGTTTGAATTGAATAGGCTCCAACACTACTGGACCGATTTGAAAAATTCTTTCACCATTAGTATCCCATATTATCCCTGATGAACATAAGCTATAGTATATATTCAAAAAGTTGGGGATCCGTATAAAAACTTCGTTATTGTAACCCAAGTCGTGAAAAAAATACCATAAAAATCCTTATATCGCATACGCTGCGAAAACTATTGTCAATAGAGTAAAGTGATGTACGACAGTTTTATAGAAGAATATCAATATCTACAAAAAAGTCCGTGGTACCATATGTCTAACTATTACAGTTATGTCAAAATAACTACTTTTTCATGTTAAATTATGCAATTGTAACGCCGAAAAATCCTTATATCGCATACGCTGCGGAAAATATTGACAATAGAGCAAAGTGATGTACTACAGTTTAATAAGAGATAATAATAATAATAGTAAGTAAATCAGTCCACGATAGGGTGCCGGGCCTGGGCGTCTCCCGTTAATGGACGCCCATATTATGGATGATGGAGAAAAAGATAGTGCGCAAAGGGCCGCTGCCTGGAGGTCGCCAGGGCGCGTCTCGAGCTGGCGCCGGACGCGACAGCATGCGGGCCGCCAGCCGAGCGCGGGGTGTTGCAAGACCACCTAGCAGCCCCCCGCATCCATCATCCCCCCCAGAAGGCTTGATGTCGGCTGGGTCTTCTCGGACTCAGCAAGTGGCACCCGCCGCTGGTGGAGCACGTCGCATGCGTTGGTCTAAATCAATGAATGAAAACGCACTGCGGGCGTATTTTAGGGCAAAAGGGGGAAGAAACTGGATGTTTGGCGTATCGGGCTCGGATGCATCGCTTTTTTGCAGAGCTGGAGCCATCTCTATCCGTCACTGAGCAAAACCTGGCAGACCAAGTTAGGTACATCCTGCGCTCCAACATATTTGGTGACGCCGAACTCGAGCGACTACGACGTGAGGCTATTCCTTCATCGAATGGAAATGCTACGGCTGGGAATGCGGCGCCACTAGATGCGCAACAAACTGCATATGTGGATGCTGCCGTCAACATTCCATTTGTGGCTAATTCAGACGATGATGGAATAGTCTCCCACGAACTAGAGAAAATGAGGAGCATATTGGAAGAGTCGATGCTGGAAACGCGCAGCATGCCTCTCGAAAATCGACCGCGACTTCCCCCGCATACCCCTTAGCAAGCGAAATCGGGCTGTCGTGCGGGCTCTTAACCCAATGCTGGTGACCTATTTGGAAGCCAGCCGGGACCTTTGCGAGACGGATTCAATTCTTTTTGGCGCCGCACTGGCATGCCGTATGGCATGCAGTATGCCGTATTATTGGCGCCAAACTTCCCGTGGCTGGACGTGCTACTCAAAAAAAGTAGCACCATCCCAGCCTGGAGAAAAAGAATTGAGGACCGTATCGCAAAGGCAAGGGCCCTTATCGGCAGACTGACAAGCTTCAGGTCGGGTAATAATAGACCGAGGATTATGCGCACCGTTAGGATGGCGTTTGCTGGGACAAATATCAGTTTGTTCCAGCCGGATATCACGCAAAAACTAACGGAGCGCATAGATGACCTGAAGCAAAAAATCGCTGCTTGGGGGAAGCGGATTCGACGATTTAGCGAGAGGTCAAGGCGGTTCAACCAGAATCGTCTCTTCCAGAGTGATCAGAAGAGGCTCTATAAATCATTGGAGCGACCAGAGGTATGTGGAGCGGGCCCAGGACCGGATCAGGCTGACACTGTCGCATTTTGGCGTGGCCTGTGGTCAGAGCCCGTAAACAACAGCGAGGGCCCTTGGATGCAGCCAGAGTGCAAGTGTTACGCCTATGGACCCCGTCACCATAACGCCTGAAGACGTGGCTGAGGCGGTCCGTAGGGCCCCGAACTGGAAAAGTCCGGGGCTCGACGGGCTGCATCATTACTGGCTGAAGGGGTTCGTAGTGTGTCACGCTGTGCTCGCCCGACAGTTTCAAGAGGCTCTCGATCAGAAGTCGCTCCCGAGCCTCTTCACTACTGGGATCACTCATTTGGTTCCTAAAGATCAGGATACCACAGACCCGAGCAAATACCGCCCCATCACGTGTCTACCCACCATATATAAGACACTGACATCCATTTAGCGCGAGAATCACTCGTCACCTGGAGCTAAATCAGGTGATATCACGCGCTCAAAATGGATGCCGGGGCGGTGGTCGTGGAACCAAGGAACCACTCCTCATTGACGCGGTCATTGGCAAAGTGGTGAAACGCAACCGTCGGAATTTCTCCGCCGCCTGGATAGACTACAGAAAGGCATTCGACTCGGTGCCCCATATATGGCTAAAGAGAGTCCTCCAGCTGTACAAAATTGACTGTACAGTTGGAGACTTCCTAGAGCAGTGTATGGGGCAATGGAGTACGATCCTTTGCTATCTGGGCGAGCGGATGATGGCTGCGGAGAACCACATAAGGATAAGAAGGGGTATCTTCCAGGGCGATTGCCTGAGTCCAATCAGGTTTTGCCTCTCCCTGAACCCTCTCAGTACTTTACTGGAGGGCTCCGGGAGGGGATTTCAGCTTCGGAAAGGAGGTACAAAAGTGACCCACCTTTTCTATATGGATGACCTCAAGTTATTCGCCTCCAGTCGCTCCCATCTTATGGAATTGCTAAACATCACTTGTGAATTTAGCAATTCTATTGGAATGGAGCTGGGAACGGATAAGTGTGCGGTCCTCCATGTTGAAAGGGGAAGGGTTGCTAAGTTTGAGGGCATAGACTTATCTATGCCCGTCAACTTAAGGACCCTTTCCGAGGCTGAAACATACCGATACATGGGTATGTCTCAGAACATCGGTATCGATGAGGCTGGTATGAAACAGTTAGTTTGTGACGTGTTTTATGCACGCTTGACCAAAGTGCTTAACAGCCTATTGTCCGGTGTGAATAAGACACACGCATATAACGGCTGGGTCATGCATGTCCTCATGTATACCTTTGGCATACTCAGGTGGACTCAGACTGAACTTAACGCCCTGGATAGAAAAGTCCGCACTACCATGACGTCCCACAGGATGCATCATCCGAGATCGTCGGTAATGAGGCTGTACTTGCCGCGAAAGCATGGTGGGCGTGGCTTCTTGAGCGCGCTCACCATGCATAATCGCGAAGTATGCAGCCTCCGTAATTACTTCCTGGCGAGATCGGATGATCCATTCTATAAGGACGTCATTTCTAGTGATAAAGGACTTACCCCTCTATCCTTAGCCAACGAGCAATGGCAAGACCCGGCAGTGCAGACAATTTCCGACCGGGAGAACGTATGGAAGGAGAAGGAGCTCCACGGGAGGTTCTACAAGGCTCTACATGAGCTTTTCGTAGACACAGTAGCCTCCCTCCACTGGCTACGCTTTGGTGATCTCTTCGGGGGAAACCGAGGGTTTTGTCTGTAGCAATACAGGATCAGGTTATTAAGACCAACAACTATCGGAGATACATCCTAAAGGATGGCACCGTGGACATCTGTCGAGCTTGTCGCCATCCCGGTGAGTCACTTAGGCATGTCATCTCCGGTTGTTCGGCGCTTTCTAACTCTGAGTACTTGCACAGGCACAACCTAGTAGCCAGAATTCTTCACCAGGAGCTCGCTCTGAAATACGGTCTCGTTGATCGGAAATTGCCGTATTACAAGTACTTGCCGGAAGCCGTGCTCGAATATGATCGCGCCAGGCTCTATTGGGACCGGGCCATCATCACAGACAGGACTATTCTTGCGAATAAGCCTGATATTGTGCTGATGGACCGGGCACAGTCAAGGATATTTTTGGTCGACATTACCATTCCGTATGACGAGAACCTCGTGAAAGCCGAAACAGACAAGCAGACAAAATATCTGGACCTGTTTCACGAGGTGACTGACATGTGGGGTGGTCTGCCGACCGAAATTATTCCTGTAGTCCTCTCTGCAAACGGGCTAATCCCAGTCAGCCTCTCGGGTCATCTGAGGCGACTGGGACTACGTGGCGGACCGCTCCGGGCTCAAATGCAGAAGGCGGTGCTCCTCGATACCGCCCGCATCGTCTGCCGGTTTCTTTCCCTTTCCCCCTAACCCTCGGCCGTTTGGTCTCCCCTGCCGAGGGCCTCCATCTGGTTGGGCTTTTATTTATTTATGTATTTTTATATTTATTTTATGTTATTGATATTTATGTATATTTATCTTTTCATTTTCATTTATAATTATATATTTATAGAACCCAACCAGATGAGAAAACTATATAGATACCCCACAATAATAATAATAATAATAATAATGTCCTCCAGACCGAATTTCGGTCACGGCGGTTTATAGTGCCCAAGCGTATGCGCAAGCACAGGTGCACTCTCTATTCCCTCTCTCTCATATTCCGATGGAACGTTGAACCGACACGACCGGATAGAGATCAGGCGGAAGAACAACGGCTTTACGTGCTTTCCGAGGCACGGGGGTGAGACACCGCCAACTTCCAGACTCCGGGCAGCTACTTGTTTTTTTTTGGCCCGTTCGAACCCAGTGATCGAGCTCATGATCAGCAGTCGCACTACTACAACCAATAGACCAACGAGGCAGGCAGTATAGAAGATATCAATATCTACAAAAAAGTCTGCAATACCATATGTCTAACTATTACAGTTATGTCACTATAACTTTTTTATGTTTGTTTATTTGTACCGAATAAGATCCAAAACTACATGACCGATTTTAATAATTTTTCCACCAATAGAAAGCTAAATTATCACAAAGTAACATAGCATAGGCTATATTTTATTTAAAAAAAATCGGAGATCTTTAAGAAAATTGTAACCCAAAGTAGCAAAATTTTGCCTATAAAATTAATTATTTGGCAGATGCTGAGAAAACTTGATGATACGTAGAAATTATGTGCTACATGATTAAATCACTTATTATTACCTTAAAAAAAGTCCGCGTAAGGAATATATCTATCATAATTAAGTCACAATAGTAGCTTTTGTGTTTTAAAATTTAATTAGATCGCCGGTCGAAACAAAATCGGTTACAGTCGTATCGTAGTATTACCTCTTATTCAAATAAATAGTTTTAACATAATGAAAGAGTTAAGAAATAATTTGTACCACTTTTTAAAGAGCATATTCTATTCTTTACTTTAGTCACACATATTTTGGCGGTAAAGTTGGTGATTTTAAAGTTACAAAACTAAAGTTACACAAATAAAAAAGGCTATAGATGCATTGTTATCTCTGAGGACTAAGAAGTAATACTTTAGTTTGTAAATATAATCGTTCACAGTACCGTTCAAATCGGAACAAAAGAGTGCACATACTACTGTTTGGCGGTAGAAATAAGCAATGTGCAGAATATGCAGAAATGATCCACCTAGTAATTAGTACACCTAGTAGTGAATGTGATATTAAAGCGTATTTTGCACCAATACCTGAAACTGTATCCCTATGAAATCTAATTGGTGCAAAAATTAAAGCCCCAGCATTACAATTATAGAGTTCAAGATGAGTAATTGAGCGCGTTTCAAAATTTGACATCTTTTTGGATGAGGTTCAACGAGCATTTGAACTAGCGGAATTGCGGATAATGGAGTGCTAGACGGAAATGGATTTGCAGTTCAAATAAGAGGCCTATGTTCAGCAGAGAACTGGTAATATGTGCTGCTACGGTGATGTTAAAAATAATCGTGATTTAATATCTACATATTTCTGCCTTAAAAAAATTCGAAGCAGCAATGGGAAAAGATATCAATAAGTCTGCATGTAAATTTGATGGTTATTTGTTATACAAGAGCATAATACGAACGGACTGACAAACTTTGTTCTATTTCGGTTTCATTGTCTTCCGAAGTATATTTTAGCTCGATGATTTTTCTGTATGGGGCTCATGATGTAATGAAAAAAATATAAAAGTCTTTATTCAACAGATTGATAAAAATAAAAATTATTCTGTTTTAATTTTAGACTAAACTAAAAATATGTACTTTTTAGTTATAGTTAAAGTAAAGTAAACGCTTAAAAAAAGCTTCACCGGCCGCCGTTGGTCTCCTATAAACCTACTTGAGAGAATTTTAGTGCAAATAAAAGTCCTCTGCACTCACCTGTTGCGTGTTATCTCTAAAATATTTTGCACCCTTAAGATGTCTTCCCATAAAACAGTTTTAGTAGGTAATTATTAAAATCAGTTAGTTATATATGTATTATAGTACGAAATTATAAAGATAGCGCATACGGAAGAAAGGAAGCAGCATTGGGCTATTAGGACATTTATTCCTTTTATTGAAGACCGAAGCTATTCAGGACTTCTTAATTACTAACAGCGAAAGTAAATTGAGGAACATTGATTTATTTTATACATTTTATATTTTTTACATTTTTATCATACCTGTACAAGTTATTTTACTATTATATACTATGCTAGCGAACGGCCCCGGCTACTCACGAATGATTTCTGGATCTCGATAACAGCGCCACCTATCGAGTACAATTGAGTTTTTAAACCATTTAGAGACCAACGCAAAATCACAAAAAGTCATCAAAATCGGTCGAACCATTTTCGAGTTTTTGCAAGACTAACGAACAGCAATTTATTTTTATATATAAGATAAGAAGATTTGCAGTTTGTGTCATGCTTGTACAAGTTATTATATTGTTATATACTTGTAGCTTACTTTGTAAAGCTGTTATAATCCGTGGTATCATCATCGTTCTAGCCATTATTACCGTCGTAATTGGCATCATAATTGTCATCGTCACATTTATCGTCATTTTCATATTCATCGTCATTGTCATAATCTTCGTCATAATTATCGTCGTCGTCATTGTCATCATAATTATTGAAATATTATTGTCATTGT